TTTCTCTAATTTTAAAGCAAATAACACTCTTTATAGTATTGTAGTTGGTATTATTATTCCAATAAATCCAGTAGCCAATCCTTATATTTACACAATTGACGAATTAAAAAATATTCTGGACTTTTCAAAGGCAAGGAAACGCTTGCTGAAGTACGTATGATGTCTACTTTCTCTCTTTAGAATTCATTCAACTTTCTATTATCAATTTTTGAAAAATTAAACAAACAAATAGAAACAATTTCATAGAAAGAATGATAGAAGGAAGAATGTTACAAAGTAGCTATAATTTTTATTTATATCACTCTTCAAATCCACTAAAAACTCTTATTCAAACATTCATTCCTAGTGACATCTATTATGAATTACGAAAGGAAAATCTTTACTATGACTATTGCAAAAAAACTTGACCTAAATATTCAATTTTTTAAACAGTTGGAATACTTTCGTTGTATATTAAAAATATCTGAAAGTCTATGCATGCTGCACAAAGAAAACTTGTATACTAATGTTGCAGATTTAAAAAATCATGTTTACGTAACAGAGATAGGAAAGAACAGCACTTACTTTCTATATCACTTAAAGTACGAAAATATAAAGAATACTGAAGCCAAGGTTGATATATTTGCTTTTGGTAAATTTGCAGCATTGATACTAAAAGAAAGCGGTAAGAGAAATCTGATTAAGTAACCAATGCTTATATACAAAGTATACTATTTATCAATTATTTAAAAAATACACTATTTATTTAATAATTAACAGAAATTTCCATAGTAAAATTCATTAAAACCTACTCAATTAAAGAGACATTTGCTTTCCATTCAATTTGGTACAATGTTTCAGCATCTCGTGAACATCTTTACGTTGTTTTGCATTAAGGTCACAATCTTGTATTTGGATCTCTTTTAAATTGTTTAATGAAGAAATCAATCCATCACAAATATATGATAATCCATTTCCCATTTCTCGATTGCTACTTAGAACTATAGTTTCTATTTTTGAACAATTTTCCAACATTTTTCCAATATGTTTACAATTGTTTTCAGTCAGGTTACAAAAGCCAAAATTTAAATATTTTAAAGTATTTGACGATTGAACAAGTCCATCGCATATTTTAGATAGTCCACTTCCTAACTTTATATTAAGGAATAAGTCCATTGCTTCTAAGTTTGAACACTTTTCCAATAAATTTCCGATATATCTACAATCAGATTGCATCCTCCGAATTTCAAATGCTTTAATGTATTTGATGATTGTGAAAGTGCATCACAAACTTTGGATAATCCATTTTCCACTTCACTGTTGTTATTTAAACATACAACTTCTAGATTAGAGCAATTCTTTATCATTTTTGCAAGATTTTTGCAGTCTTTTTCATTTAGATTACAGCTTTGAAAATTAATGTATTTTAAAGAATTTCTAGATTTATAAAGTCCATTCAGAATCTTTAATAATCCACTTTTCATACACTGATTTGAATTGAGATTTAACGTCTCTAAATTAGAACAGTTTTCAAGCATATTAGCAATACTTTTACATTGACTCTCAGTCAGATTGCATCTCTCAAAGAAGATATCTTTCAAAGTGTTTGACGACTGGAAAAGTCCATCGCAAATCTTTGATAATCCATTTCCCATTTCCTGATTCCAACTTAAATGTATTACTTCTATTTGGTAATTTTTCAGAATATTTCCAATACTAGTACATTGATTCTCAGTCAGGTTACATCCACATAGATTAATATGTTTTAAAGTCCCTGACGATTGCAGTAGATGGTCAAAAATATCTGATAATCCAGTTCTCATTTCTTGATTCCAGCTTAAATCAATAAGTTCTATTTTATAGCACTTATTCAACAAATTTACTATATGTTTACAATCATTCAACGATAGATTACATTTACCAAAATTGATATACTTTAAAGTGTGCGATGATTGAACAAGTCCATCGCATATATTTTCTAATCCATTTCTAATTCTTTTATTCCAATGTAAATTTATTACTTCCAGTTTTGAACATTTGTCCAACATTTTCCCAAGATGTATACATTCATTCTCAGTTAGATTACAACTCTCTAAGTGTATTTCTTTAAGGGTATTTGATGATTTGACAAGTTGGTCGCACAAATCCGCTATGACATTTCCAAGTTACCGTTTTGAGACAATACTATAGTTTTTATATTATTGTGTTCTTTTAAAATTTCTATTACATCATTTTTCTCTTTCTCTGTGTTACATTTATGGGAGAAATCAAACGATTGATCAATTACCGCAAATTTTTTGTTTTCTCCTTCTCGTGAATACGTTTCAGTCGGATTTTCTTCACCATCAGTATCTTTTGCCTTTGGCCCTATTTCTGAGCCATACTTTTTCATATTTTAAAGAAACTGCAAGCCAAAGCAGGTATTTTACTAGATATCGCTCTATAACCATAAAACCATAACAATGACTAACAACCACAGTTGTTATCTCAGTAAAGATTTTATAGCTAGAGATTCTTTCGATAAGACACGATATGAAAAGAACAATTGATTTATAAATCAGATGTCAGGATGGCCGAGTGGTCTAAGGCGCCAGACTCAAGCGTACAGCTTACAGTTTAACGGTTACGTTTGAACTGTGCAGGGGCGTTCTGGTCCGCGAATGCGGGCGTGGGTTCAAATCCCACTTCTGACAATATTTTTTTTCAGAATGTAATTTTAAATATTTTACTGTTTAACACAAAAAGAATAGGACACCTAGATCAGGAGAATTTCTGAGTTAAAGAGGGATTTTTTTTTAATATGCAACTTTTCACGAATTTTAACTATTAAGTTATCACCATAAATAATCAAAAAGTTGAGGAAAAGAGGAATTATCCAGTTCTAGATTAAAATTATTTTTTTGATTAGGAAAAATGAAATTTGAAAGACTTTGGACTGGGTTAGGACTAAACTTTGGGCAGGACCTCTTGAAATGAAAAACACAGTTTTCCTACTTAACTGGATTTGTCATTTAGCATCTATAAATGAATTTTTCGACTACGTTGCTATTCTATTTTGTTCAAGAATCTCAATCTTTTGGCACTTGGTTTTTCAAAAGAAAACATTTTCATAATTTTCTTTTATAGAAAGCAAAAACACAGCTTTTGAAGATGTTGAGAAATGAAATTACTTTGAAAAAAGTATTGTCAGAAGTGGGATTTGAACCCACGCCCGCATTCGCGGACCAGAACGCCCCTGCACAGTTCAAACGTATCCGTTAAACTGTAAGCTGTACGCTTGAGTCTGGCGCCTTAGACCACTCGGCCATCCTGACATCTGATTTATAAATGATGATTTTGTTCATAGGATTTCATCTAGAAACAATAGACATACGTGCAATTACCTGGATGGAGAAGGAAACATCACAACCTTAATCTACCAGTTTACAAAGCTTAGTTTAACCCCAACACAGTCTGGAAATAATAAATTTGACATTTGCCTAAACTTAATCTAGGTCCAAAGTTTACTATCTATTGACGTTTTCTCCTGCTCTAGTCAAAAAAATTCTGAGGGGGCAAATGGCTAACCCCAACCTAGAGATATATGAACCGGAAATGGAAAGCGCTGAGAGGATTTTATAACAAATGAAAGTTTCATACAAATACAAAAGAATCCTAAAATTTAAAATATCAAGGTAAATGCTGGATTGTAACATCATCAATATATTTCAGTATAATGAAATATTAGGCGTTAATTAATTATTACCCGTGTTTTTTTTTGCAATACAACTCTTATTAATTGTATTGTGTTTGTCAACGACAAAAGAACATAACAAGTTTTATTGAGAGTATACACAACTACATGGAGATAATGGTGTTATTTCTTCTTTTTACTGTATTTCTTACTATCGACTGCAAAAGTAAATGCGGAATGGAAAATAACGAAAATTTTTATTCTTATTTACAAGGCGAAGACTTAAATTATTTTATAAAACCAATAATTGAAGATAGAGTTTCAGTTTATGGAAAAATCTATGCAAAGGTAAAAAATACAAATGAAACTTTATATATTGCTTTTGGAACAAAGATAGAAGAAGAATATCATCAAACTCTCTGCTCCTATCTCCGATACGACAATTTACATTTTATAGCCGAAGCTTGCAATCCAAATGATGGAAAGTTTCTTTAAGATACAGATGTATCAATTTCAATAGTGACAGTTTCTTTATTTCAATAAACAGACATTTTATCGCTTGTACCAGTTAATTTTAATGGAAAATATATTTTGTACTCTTTAAATTATGAGAATTTAAATTAATATCATTTTTTTAAAATTTCTTTCTCTTCCTTCCCTTTTCTAGGAAAGTTGTTACAAAAGAATCTTTGCTACATTTAGCTTCATTTTGTCTGAAATGCTATAAAACCAACTCGGCTTGTAAAATGGAGAAATATTTTCCTTTGTCTAATTTAATTACTAAAATATTTGTGTTTTTGAATTGAAATCTAGACATTTTTGCTATTCTTGATATATATACACAAACTTATCGGCTCTTCCTCAGACTTAAAAGGAAAGGTTATACTCTTGTAAAGAAGAAAGATACGACTTTCAAACTATGCCATACAACTCAATTTTACCTTAATAAAACCAAAAATATTGATTTGCAAAATCAATTTATATCAATTGACAATAATAAAAATATTGCTGTATTAAACTCTCTTAAATTAGCTAATGTATCACTTTTTACAATGATTTTTTGTCTAAAAAGTGAATTACAAGGTTTAATAATAATTTTATTCTTTCTATACGAAAGTAAAATAATAATTTATTTCGTAGATATATTTTTTATAAAAGAGGCGCCGCAATTTTACAACAGAATACTCTTCAAGGAAAATTATCCTAATAGAACATCATATATTATCCAGTCAAAGACTTTTGGTCATATTCCATTATTATTTGATAGTTCAACAAAAGTATACGAAGTTGCTTTAATGATTTGTCAACTGAGCAATAGAATACCACTTCCAATACAAAATCCAAAGAAAATGTATTTCGGATATCGAGTAATAAGTAACTTTTAATACGGAAAATCACACCAATTTAATGGCTCTATTTCTATTTTTATATAGATGATTCAACTAAACTCTTGTCCAGAAATAAATTATCATTTAGACGATAAGAAACCACCTATTCTTGGTCCATGTAAATTGAATGGTAATTTATCAAAAGATTGTCAATTAAATGACGGAGTTCAAACAAGTCTTGCAATGGCGGCGTATTGCGTTGATAACGGAACTTTTAAAGGTTAAATGAGAAAAATATTTTTAAAAGGAGACTTTAACGCCAACAAAACAAAACTTACTTTAAATAGATAATGATTTAGTTTTATATAATAATATCAATGATATCTTAACATTTAACAATAGAAAATCTAAATCAAATGACAGTTATATTGGAACGTTTTATATCTTTTATAAAAACTATTGGTATTCAACACAACCACATTATTTCAAATCTTTTGAAATAATTAATATTTGCAATTACTTTGGATATAAAACTGGAACAATTAAACTTGGAAAATTTTTGCAAACAATCAGTTTTTATAAGACAAATAGCGTCAAATGTTCGCAGAAGAATAACTTTTCTAGTTGTCATTTTATATTTTTTAATTCTACATATTTTAAGTAAAAAATCACATTTAAAATATTTTCAAGTTACGCTTTTCCAAAATAATTCAAATCTCTTGAAAAAATTCTAGTAAAGAAAAACAATTTCTCTTCTCATCAACTCAATTTCTAATTGAATGTAAAAATTATTACAGTTAGTCTTTTAGCCTATAACATATTCAATCTTCTTCTTTTGTTTAATAAATTTTCCCTTTCAATAGAAATTACTTGCCAAGATCCAAATGCTTTTATATTCAATGATGGTTGCTATTTATATATTCAACATAAAGAAAAGAAATCTATCAATGAAGCTGCGGAAGAATGCGAGAAATTCAATTCCACCTTACTTTATATGTCGAATGACGAGTACAAATTTACAAAATTTCTACTACAAGGCGAAGGTGATGATAATTCAGCTCCTGGTAATCAAAATGTACAAGTTGGAGGAAGTAATTGAATTATTAAATTAATTTGTTCAAAACACTTGAACAATGAGGATTTTTTTTTAAAAAAATACAAAATAGGATTGAAAATTGTTAGAGATATTAAAGACGAAGAGAAATTTACGTTTGACGACGGAATACCTTACGACTACTACGGTTTTACTACAGCATTTAACAATAAGTATAATTGAAATTTTGAACAAAACGGCTTATATTCTGAAATGATGAGGCACTTTTTCCATTTTTAACAGATACGTTTCAGCATGTTTTGGGGATACTAATAAAGGATATTTCTCTAACATTTTCAATAAGAATACGCCGGAATTATGTTATCTACTCTCTGACGATATGATGAATGTTCGCGGATTAATCTACTATAACACGCCTTACGATTGCGAAAGAAGATTTATATCAAAAAACTTCTGTAGAGCTAAATGTAAATATTTAAATATGAAAAAATAGAAAAACTATTCAACTTCATTACCAGTTTATTTCTTTCTGTAAAAGATTCAATTAATATTTCAACATCTAATGAATTGAAAAATGTGAATTTTAGCGAATGTCCTAAAAATTCTTTTCGCTGCATTGACGATGATTTTTGTATAAATGCAATTAATGTTTGCGATGGATACACCGATTGTTTTTCAAATGAAGATGAAAGAAATTGTTCCCAAATCCAACAATTTCATTGCGATTCAAATTTAACAATTCCATTTCAACTTGTATGTAATTATGTAAACGACTGCCCAAATGATCTGGACGAGAGATATTGCGGTAAAATTTGCGGTATTGCTGTCGATTTTTGCTATTGTTTTAAAATTGCAAACAAATTTCAGAAAGACCAGTCTGTATAATGAATACTTTTACGTACGTAATTGATTTTCAATTTTATAGGGTAAAAAACAGAACTAACATGTTTATTAAAGGGTCTAAAACTAAAATGAACTATTAGGCCTAATGAATAGACAGTTTAAACCCTTGACAACTATTATATGTATTTGTTAATAGGTGTGATAATGGACAGTGCGTAAATGAAAAATATGCTTGTGACAATGAACGCAATTGCTTCGATAGTAGCGATGAAAATTGTATCAATAGTAGATTACTTAGGAATGGAACAATTGGGGAAATGGGTAAACTATAATAGATACTATAGGAACCTAAACTAAACTAGTCTTTCTTATCCATATACGTCTATAGATTGCGAGAGTTTTAACCAATTTCAATGCGAGGATAGTTGTATATCACGTGATAAAGTTTGCGATCTACAAACGAATTGCTTGAACGGAGAAGATGAAAGTGAAATGTGTTCAGACTATTACGATAAATTTAATTTAAAAGATTGTTTGAAGTTGGAAAGAGATTTGGAAATTAAATGTAAAATTGTTTACGATTCAATGGGAAATCTTTTAACAAAAGTTCATTATCCATTCAACGCTTTAAAAAATTGTACGAAAACAACATGCGCAATTGGTGAATATTTATGTAAACAGAGTTATTACTGTATATCAATTAAGCAAGTTTGCGATGGAATTGTTCATTGTACTCATTTTGACGATGAGAACGATTGCGGTAAAATTTACTTATCTTATTACTTATTTCCGGTTTCTTCTAGGCGCAGAGGACAAAATTGATTAACTAAAATTATTATTAACCAATTAGGAAATTTTAGGCCTAAAGGCTATTTTAAATGCAAAGATCAAATGACTTATATCCCAATAAGCGACGTCTGCAATGAAATTATTGATTGTAAAGAAGGAAATGATGAAATGTATTGCGATTCTATTGAAATTTGTCCAGATAATTGCAATTGTAAACGATTTCTTATTATTCAATGTTCATTTTCGGATATAATGAGATTAAGATATTCAAAAGACGAATATATCCTTTTCAAAGATATTCTATTCTCGAATTATAAAGAAATAATAATTTCAAATTTTAAAGAGCGGATAAAAGAAAGAGAAGAATTGAGCAAAAATCAATCATTGAATACTTTATCATTATCATTCAAGAACATATCCGGTTTTGTCAATATGATTTCCGTATCGAAATCATTTCCAAATCTAATTCAACTGGAAATTGACAATTGTCAAAAACCAATAAATTGGACATTAATCTTACCACATCCGTTAAAAATGTTACAGAAACTATTTATCAGAAAGACAGTATTAAAATTTCCAAAAAAGTTTACAATGAAATATTTTACGTTATTAAAAATTATTGAATTTTCATATACAAACATTGATTATTTATCAAATTATTTATTTAAGGATTTAAATTCACTTAGTACTTTAATAATAGCAAATTCAAATATTCAAGATTTTCATATAAATGTCTTTAAATCTTTAAGCGGATTAGAGTATTTGTCACTTGAACATAGTTCTATATCTTTAAAGTTTGCAAGCCGTCTAATTAGACAGCTAAAGTCGTTGAAATCACTTTATAGTCAATATTTTTCATTTTGTTGTTTTGCTTGGAAATTTTCAAAGAATATTCAAAATTGTCAACCAACCGAATCGTTATTCAATTCTTGTTCAGATCTTTTAGGATCGGAAATGATACGTTCAATTCTGTGGATTTTTTCAATAATAGCATTGATGGAAAATTGTATTTCTCTACTATTTAGGGGAATGGTAACAAAGAAGCAGAAGAATCCTTTCCATCTAGGCCTATCATTCTCCGATCTATGCATGTCCATATATATGCTAACTATAGGCAGTTTTGATATCTACTATAGAGGGAGCTATATTGAGAATGATTACGAATGGAGAACGAGTAAAATGTGTCAATTTGTTGGTTGGTTTTGCAGTTGTTCCATTCTATTTTCGACTTTCAGTCTCTTATTAATATCAATTGAAAGATATCTAGTTATAGCATATCCTTTTAAGAGAATATTCACACCAATCACTTCAACAATAGCCGCTATTTGTACATTTATTACTTCCGGTTGTATATCTTTACTACCTTTATACATATTTCATTATGGCTACTATTCAAAAAGTCCACTTTGTTTTACTTTACAAATAACTAGTGAAAAGACAATTGGATGGATATTTTCATTTATAGTTTTCGGCCTATTTATATCAATAATTTGTATAATAATTGTATTTCTATATATAAGTATATGGAAAGAAAGTTTAAAAGCAAAAAGTCTAATAGATAGACAAGTTTTTAAGCGTCAACAAACAAAATTAATATTAAATGCCTTTTTAATTGTTGTTACAAATCTCTTGTGTTGGTTTCCAATTTCAATTTTAGGTTTTTAAATTATTCATCTTTTTCAATCATTTCAATCAATCTTTTTCTAGGAGTTTATTCAGTTTTCTTTGAATTCTATATCAAAAAAGATATCTATGTTACATTGGTTATCGTTATCTTACCTCTAAATTCAATTATCAATCCTCTATTGTACACATTAAGAGATATTAAGGCCTATTATAGTTCTGTGAAGATCAAACGTTCAATGCAAATGTATGACGACATATTGATTTAAATTTTTTAAAATCTCATTTCAACAATACCTTCCTTCTTATCCTAGCCAACAAAATCTTGATAATGCCCTTGAATTGACCTTCTTACAATGTACGCTAATCTTATTTTAAACCATCCATCCTTCACAACCCTAAAATTATATAACCTTTTATTGACATTTCCTTTTCCTGCTCCAGTCGTCAAGTTAATTGATGGAAATGAAAGATTTCTATCTAAAAGAAAAGTTATGACGTCATTACAAGATGTAAAACTGTTGAAAAGTTTCTATTCAATGAGAAATATTTGCGTTCTGTGTAGAAGTATTTGTCAAATGTTGAAATTACTTCATAGATTAGAGTTTTCATACAACGATTCAATTGATTTCTCTAACATTTACGTTACAGTATAATATTGAAAAACTCCAATTCATCAATTAACTCTTTTGTTTTGTGTTTAAAAAACAGAAAAATTTGAAAAATCGCCAAATATACTTTTTATCATTGAAATATTTAAAGAAAGGAAACGAAAATTCAACAGCAAATGATATACTTCTATGTGGAAATTTTATAAAAAAGATCCTTCAGAAGAGATCACATTTTTATCATCAATTTCAATAAAGATATTTATTAGTTTAAAATGGCTTAGAAATTATGAATCTTTTATAAATAGTTATATAATTTAGTTTTAAAGTGTGAAAAGTCCATTTTTCTCTCTATTCAAGATGACATCCCTTTCTTTAATTGCTTGAGCAGAAGAGTTTATTCACTAGAATGAAAGACTTAAAAATAATTTATTAGTGCTTTGTTTTCTCATTTTTCAATAAGATTCCTTTCTCATAAGTTTTCAAGTATTCCCGAAGGCGTTCAATCAGCCTATACCGAAAGCCTACGGCTGGCAGCACATTTAGCTTTTATATACCATAGTACGTGCTTCGTGCTTGCTCAAAGTGTTAGTCATTATTTAGTGAGGGCACGAGAAAAAATAGGACAGAGAGAGGATAAATTTTATTCTATAGCTAAAGTAAGTTTTCTCTACAACGATACACATAGTGTGATAGCTATGGATAATGATAAAGTTTTCTTTCATTTGGAAGATAAAGATACATAATTAAATTCGGTAATTTTGCCATTTAATGATTAAAATATTGCCAAAAAATAAAGACAAAACAGTAAAAATATACAAAATATACAATGTTATTGATAATTTAGATGACTGTTTTTATTTATTGTAAGATGGGGAACGTTTTGAAAACTTTTTGAACAAGTTATGTCTTTTTAATATTATCATTTTATCCTTCAAACATATCAATTGGCTTTGCTGTTGTTCAGTTAAGGTTTTATATGTGCTTATATGGTCAACAAGTCGCTGTAAAGTAGTAGAATTTTCTACATCTGAATTATTCGTGAGCAACCATGAGCTGACTTTTTCAAAAACTGCAATAGTCTGACTGATTATATCCTCCTCATCCGACGAAGATGCTGGCATTCCATCGTATGGTTTACTTGGTGAATATATAATTGATTTCAATTCTGATAAAATATCCTTGATGCTTCCTTCTTCAATAGTTTTACTTTGTAATTTATTCAATATATTTAATCTATCTTTAAGTTTTTGAATATTTGAAAGTATCTTGTTGGCAGCTCCGTTTGTAACACGTTGTGATAATAGCCATTCACTCTTTGTATTCAACATCTCGTCATACGTCATGTCCTGAAAGATGTTTTCGTATTTTTTTAGTCTCAAATGCCTTAACCAAATTTGATATTGTTGGTCTAGGAACGACGTATGTCTCGACTCTTTGCTGTCCGAGGAAGAACCAGAAGATTGAGGTGAAAGTTTAGGGTGATAGTTTGTTTTCCATTGTGGGGTATTTGGTATTAGAGATTCAGTTCTTTGCAACGGCCGATGAGGTTTATTATTATAAATGTTACATAGACCAGGTGGGCTCGATATAGTTGAACAAACTTTGGATTTTTCAAAACATGGCTGAGGTGTCGGATCAATAGTTTGCAACTTAAAACGAGTGGTTGAAACATTGTTGGTTACGCCCATACTGCCTGAATAGCCGAGGGGCCTATGTTGTGTCCAAGCTGAGCCATATGTATTATCATCAACTATGTAATTTAATTCAAGTCCGGAATCTCCTAGAGAGCTTGGTGGCCAACTGCTGGTATTTTCTTCTTTGTCGTTAGATGTCACGTTTGGGGCCCGAATCGACATTAGCTGCTGTTGTTGTTCCAGATCTGAATACCAGGTCTTAAACTCTTGAATCTCGGTCTGGGTGAGAGCAGGGTGCAAGACAAGATACATAGCCAATTGGCGGCATTCTTCCGTCTGACGTCCTTCGTGAGCGGCCAATTGCATTAGGCGTTTTATAAGACAAATATAATCTTGTTTGACCTCTTTCAAACCGGGACGGAGAAGAGGAATATGAGCCAGTAAATTTCTCAAAGCCCCTGCTGTATCCGTTTCCTGGGCAAGTCGCCTCAAGTAGGCGGAATCGTTTGCCTCCTCGTCACTTTTCTTTAAAGCCTCATCATTATTCAGTGATTGTTCAAGAGTTCTGCATAGAAGGCGTGCGTGAGTAGGCCTCATACTATGGACTAGCTTGAATAGTGCTACAGTTTGTTCGCAATCGTTCCACATATTAAACTGAGCCATAACGTTGTTTACTTGATCCCTATACAAACTGTAGTCGGGCGTCTTCAAGAACGAATTAATTGCGCTGTGGTTCATCATTGTCGGCACTCTGTAAAAGAATTGAAAATAGAAATTTAATTGTTGAATTTCTAGTTTTAAAATGTTAGAGATACTGTAAAAAAAGTACTTTGAATAAAACACCTCTGGTTGTATAAAAAAAGATTTCAAAACAGTATTGACCGGAAGTCGCTGTTATCAGAATAAATTATCTCTAAATTTATTAAAAATATGGTGTAGAAAGCCTTGTTGTCTTTCCTATGTAAATTCGAATTTCCTGCTTTTACTATTAAATTTCAAACATTTAGAATTATATATTCTATTAGTTCTATTAAGATAGATATTCTATTCTTAATAATTTACTAATCAATTAATTAATAGATAAATTAACTGGAGAAGTTTGAATAATAAACATTCACTTACCAACGCTTGTTATAGTTTGATTCGTTTTCGACTTGTCAGTTGTATAAAAATCGTTCATGTGACTCACACGCCTTATTCTGACGAGTCAGATGAATAGAGAGAGAGAGGGGGGGAGGGCTTTCCCACACTAGTCACGATCATTCAATGACTCATAAGTTTGTGCACACCGTTCTATATAGAAAGAATATTTGAATAGCTAAATATTCCTTTTATAGAAATTCGTGCCCGCAACAATTTAGAAAATGTATAAGAGTTATGACGTAAAAATCTCCGTTGAATGATATATCTTTTGAACTTTTAGTCACGTGATTTATAAATTCTATTAGTAATTTTGTCTTGAAAAATATCTTAATAAAACATTCTGTGAATTTTGCATTTATATTTCTTATTATTAGCAGAGTAACAATGAAAAGTAGCGATATTTTTGTTTTTAGAAGAGTTTGCGTAATGTACTATTTCATCAATATTTAACATTTTCTAAATAGAACGATATTTTCCATTTTGACTAACTTTACAGCTATCACATGATTTCTGTAATGTATTCTAAGACATCAGCTGAATATGAGTCAATGACAATTCAAAGTACTTCTCCAGGACAGTCAACGTCATTTGTTTCAGAACTCTTAGTGTGCATATAATTTGATTGGAATATATTATATTATAAAAAAAAGTCCATTTGGACATTACTGAGGATTAGCTGTACCATAACTACATTGATAATCAAGTTCAGAAAGAAGAAAACTGACTTTGTTAAACACATTTCAAACAGAGATGTTACTGTATTAAAAAGAAAAAACAATAATATTTCAATTAGCAAAAGCACAATCAACTAGTAGAAAATTTTAATAAGAGAATGATGCTGCAAAAGGATTGCAGGTAAACATGTTGAGAGGTCCAACTTTGCAGAGAGAGAGAGAGAGATGAGGCACTTTTTCAAGTTTCGGAAACTTTAAAATTTCTTTTAGCTCTAATTTACTTTAGGGAAAGCAAAATGAAAAGAACTTAGGATCTAGTATTAGGGAAATGGATTTCTTATCTATCTTAACTAATAGTTGCTGCCTTTCCTCATGGATTAAATATCCTGGTTTTTTTCACTTTACTCTAGCATGAGTAGGTCTCTTCTGCGTGATTCATCCATTATTTACCTCCCTACTATTTCAAACAATTGGAATTTTTCCAGAGAATAGGTATCCTGAAATATTTTTATAGTATCAGAAAATACATACTACTCAACTGCTACCGTAACATATGTTTGAATAGAATATGAATGATTGTATCACTTAGAAAATCAAAAAATTCAGTAAGCACCCAAAACAAGTCCAAATGCACCACCAACATCTGACAAAAGAGTCAGCCATACCTGGTTTTTCAGTGGTTATATCGGAGATCATTGATGAAAAGAAGACATTAACAATAAGTATATTATCAGGATTAAACTGTTCAGAGCCTAATATTTGCTTCAAATCATTTCGAAATTCAGACGACGAAAGACGAATATGATATTGAGAATTGTAGCATTGATTCCGACAATTGCAATGAGTAAATATCTCATTTCCAATATAAATAGCTGTTTTCTTCTTAATGCATACCAAATTGAATGGAGCACAAACAATTGTATCTTTCTTTTCTAATTTGAATACTTTAAATTTAAAAAAATAACCAAAAAACAAACAAATAAACCATACATACTTTTCTTCATTTCCGGTGAAATACATTTGCATTGCTTTTCTACATAATTTGAAAAAAATTGCAATAGAACAATGACTATAGAAGTCTATAGTTTCTATCTTGATTACAATCTCCATATGGCTTATTAAGAAAGTTTGTAACTTCCAAAGTTGTTGACAAAAGGTATTCCCTTCCAAAGATGACTTTAATACCTTTCTCTATCATTTCCGGATGATCTTTTGAATTATGAATAAGAACCTGTTTATTAATTTATTTAATTTTGAAAGTAAATTTTAAAAAGTACTCACCCTAAATCCAGTAGATAAGGTTGTTGCTCAAATATAATCGTTCTTTCTAGTATTTAGGAAAACTGTGAATCCACTACTCGATCCTCCTGATCTGGTTATCAAAGAAGAATCTAATAAACAGATTCTCTCGATTGGTATATATAATTTAACAATATTTATACAAACCAGAATTAAATTGAAAACACAAATAATTACTTTTAAGTATAGTTTGTCAAAAAATTCTTTATATTTACAATTATAACAGCACTTTCAAGAGTTTGGCCAGCATTTTGATAAAATTTTCCCCAATCCAAATAAGAATTGTTGAATAGAAATTGTTAAATTTATAATATATAACATTTTTTCCCGTCTAAGAAACTATATGTGCATCCTTTTTGTTTCAATTTCCACAGAATTCAATTAGCATTGTGTACTTGCAATGATATATTCAAGTTCATTGACCTAAACTAAACAATTGTTTTTTGCTCTTCATAGCTGTGTTTATATATAATCACTGGTATTTTTCAACTAATGACACTGTGGTTACACCATTTAGATTAGTTATAACATTGCTAAATATCTAATTAATTGGCATTATAGGTTTTGTTATAATAATGAATCATGTTCCAAAAATAAATTCAAATCAATTTATTCTCTAGTCAGTTCTTCTCTAAGTTGACATAGTAATAAACAAACAGTCAGGTTTGAATTTCTTCACGAATCATGGCCGCTTTTATTATCGATCATTATACAAGACTCTGTATATGTAGAGAATTTCAAATTAGATTCGTTCTGATACTGCTCATTCGACAGTTAAAGGATATGTCAGTGGAAACTTAACGAATCATTGGTTGGAAAGAATCATGGAGTTTTGAACTGTCAGCATTCATTTTGTCTTTGATATTTAAAAAAATTACATATTCGTAATATGCAAATTAGTTATCCTCTTGCAGACGACAAATGAAATTATCAGAAGGTAAAATTAAACATTTTGCAAGAATTTCCCCTTAAATTCGTGCCAACAGCTACAATTCAATAAGAATACATGTGTAACACATAATAAAGAGTGTTCATTGCATTGTAGAACTCATAACCTTGAGAATATTTGTATATTATTTATTTAAATTATGGATTTAAGTGGCAATCCAAATGTGGGAAGTGGATTAGTAGAGATTTATAATGGGCTCGCCCTATCATCAAATTATTTAAAACAACTTAAATTGAAAGATTGTTAACTTTTAGCAAATGATTGTAAAATGATTGGAAATACGCTAAAGAATGCTCCAGAATAGAATTAATTAAACTGACAATTAATTTAACAATGAGTGATAATGGATTATTAGAAATATGTAGTGGACTTGAAAGTCAAAAAAAAAGGTTAAAATCTTTCAATTTAAGTAATTGTAATCTAAGAAAACTTGAATGTATTGAATGTACAGTTATTGAATAGCTATTGATAAATGGTTCAAAAGTTGAAATTTTTGCTAATCAACAAACACATTAAAATGTCTAAACTTTTCAGAATGTGACCTAATTGGAAATCATTGTATATCATTATTTGGAATAAAAATATTTAAAGTGGCATTTCAGATATTTCGGAAATGGATTTTTTGACATTTGTAATTTATTGTGCTCACAAACCAATTTAATGTTTTTAGTAAACTATTTAAATATTTTGACAAACAATAATAAAATAATTATTCATTATTAATTTTTTTATTAATTAGAATATTTCTTGAAACTTAACCAAAAGAGAGTAGGTCTTTGTAGATCAATTGTTTTTCCAATCAAGAATATTGTCATGAAAGATATGGAAAATTATGAAAAAGACATTTTACATTTTGCAGCTATGATTGAAGAAATATTTGCTATTTGAATTATGTTCAAACATATTGTATTAACGTAAATTTTGTGCTTAATTACATATATCCATTGTTTCTATAAATAGATGATTCCTATACAATGTATAGCAGCATAAAACACAAATTGTCAGTGAATTAATCACTTTGTACAGTAAAAAAAAACTAAAAAAATATGTATTATTCATGAAATTTAATCTTGATTTACTTAATGAAATAAGAGGAATTTTTCTCTATGATTTCTTCAAACATTTTACCATAAGAAAGAATGTCTAAATGTTCACTTGAACTCGATAAATAATTGAAATTTGAAAATTCGATTGAATATTCATGAATCAATCTTTTGCCAGATTTCTTTGTCTGTTTAGAGGATGGGGAGAAAACAGTATAAAATTTAAATATTCAAATATATTTAAATCGTTTACATAATAAAATAATGATTCCATAGAAAAATTTCCATCCAATGATATTTCATTCAAATGACAAAATATTAAAATGTTTGCCATATCTTTTGAACATTTTAGAACGTTTCCAATGGGGAAATATTTGTTTTCCAGTTTTATATTATCGTGTTTTGAATGATTACAACTGCACAGGAGATTATTTTTACTACTATTTTCAATAAATTCCGAAACTAAAAAAAAAAGTCTTGAATATTCAAAAAGATGGATAGAAAGAAGAAAAGAGTTATTTACTTTTTGTAAAATTCAATTGTTTACATTCTTCCATTAGTTTCATTCTAGGAAATATTACAAAATATGATTTAGTTAATAAAACAACAAATTTGTTTAAATTTTACTTTTTAAATTCATTTAAAATTCCTTTTTGGTAAATAACAAAGGAAATTTTTTCAATTATGAAAAAAACTGGATGAATAGTAGATAGGAGAAACAATAACATTCCAGTAAGAATAATATAACTGTCTCTTGTAATCTATTTGAATAAAAACAAAATATTTTTGAATATTTAACTATTAAAACTCTTAATTAACTAGCCATTTCACTGGATAGAAAGAACCCAATTAAAAAAATAAATAAAATACATAAAGATTTTAATATGAGGACTAAAATATTTCCTCGCTTTATACTGAGATATTTATTCTTTGACATTAATGACTTTTCATTCATTTTTGATAGTTTCTTTTTAAATATTGAATATAGTAAATAAACATCTAATGTTGTACATGAAATATTTAACACTAGAATTGATATTATATTAAATATCCAGCCGGAAAATTCTTCCTTTATCGGGTTAAATAAAAAACATAGATTGGAATAGGACACCTGTTTAATTTGGGAAAAAGACAAACGCTTATAATATTTTATATAAATTTAAATTTGAATAAAATTAACTGAAAATATAAAATTATGACAAATACAAATAGTAATGGAAATAAGTAATATTCCAAAAATTGA